CCTCCATCCCCCCCAAATCCTGCTGTGCCCCCGTACCGATGTTCCCCTCCAGGGCCAGGCGCAGGCCGGCCCCGCACCGCCCCATCCCCGCTTCCGCCTTTCCCGCGTCACATGCTAATGACATGCTAATGAGCGGGGCGCGTGACGTCATCGCGCGGGAAGTGGGCGGGGGGGAACGAAAGGCGGGAGAGGAAATGCCGGGGAGGGGGAGGAAGGGGGGAAGGGAAGGGGGGAAGGAAACAGCCACGGAAAGAGGGAGAGGAGAGGAGAAGGGGGGTGGTGTTGTAATTTATGTAAATGAGACTCCGCCCACCACATGAGCGGCCAATGAAGGGGAGGGAGGGTGTGGCACAAAAATGGGGGCGGATGTAGCGCTGTGGGGTCGGGGGTACCAACATGGGGGCAAGAGCATCATCAGGGTTTGGGGGCACCAACAGGGTACTGACATAGGGTTGGGGTCACCTACATGGGGTCAGGGACAGTTACGTGGGGCTGGGGTCACCAACACAGGGTTGGGGTCACCAAATGGGGGTCAAGGACATCAGCATGGGGCTGGGGTCATCAGCATGGGTTTGGGGTCACCAACGTGGGGTCAAGGGCATCAACAGGGGTTTGGGGTCACCAACAAGGGGTCAAGGGCATCGAGACACTGGGTTGGGGTCACCAACAAGGGGTTGGAGTCACGTGCATGGGGTCAAGGGCATCAACAGGGGTTTGGGGTCACCAACAAGGGGCTGAGGTCACCTACGTGGGGTCAAGGGCCTCAACACGGTGTTGGAGGCATCAGTACAAGGCTGGGGACACCCAGGGTAACACTGGGGGCACCAACATGGGGTCGAGGGACTGACACAGGGTTGGGGGCATCAAGGCAGAGTCAAGGCCATCAGCGTGACCCCATGGACACCACCATGAGGTTGGGGGTCCCCCAGCCCTCCTCCCCTTGTTACTCTCAGTTCCCCCTGATGCCCTTGTCACCCCCCACCCCCAAATCTCCCAGAGAAGGGGCAGACCCTGGAGAAAAGGCTTTTTAATGCGCAGTGGGGGGGAGGGAGGAGCAGCAGGGGCTGAGGAGGAGGAGTGGGGCTCCCCAGCCCGGGCCAGGGTGGCCACCACGGGGTGGAGAGGGGGCTTAGAAGCATTTTCGGTGGACGATGGAGGGTCCGGCCTCGTCGTACTCGGGTTTGCTGATCCACATCTGCTGGAAGGTGGAGAGGGACGCCAGGATGGAGCCGCCGATCCACACCGAGTACTTGCGCTCCGGGGGGGCGATGATCTGTGGGGAGAGGAGACATCAGGGGGCA